TATGTTATTTGACTTATACAACCATAAACAAACAATATTTTCATCATTACTCAATACATTTATTGTGTTTTACTATTTTTCTTTTTTAAACTGATTAAAAAGGATATTATCTGTTTTGAAAGTATTTTAGAAAGTATTTCATCATTTTTCTTTTATCAAATTCAAAACATAAATCATTTATAATGTTTAATTAATTTTCAATTTTTTTGGTGTTATTTATCTTTTTATCATCACTAACACCAACAACACCACCAACAACACCACCAACAACACCACCAACAACACCACCAACAACAGCACCACCAACAGCACCACCAACAGCACCACCAACACCACCAACAACAGCACCACCAACACCACCAATGACAACACCACCAATGACAACACCACCAACAGCACCAACAGCACCACCAATGACAGCACCACCAATAACACCAATAGCAACACCAACACCAACACCAAGGGAAATAAAACCTAAAACTTTAACAACACCCCATACTTTTTCCTTAAAAGTTTTTTTCTTTTCTGTTTTAATTCCTCTGCTAAATAAATACCATTCACTTTCTATTTCTTTTCCATCATTTGTTATTTTAATACATCTTCTGTATGTCTTTTTTTCATATGTTATATCAGACTTTGTTTCTTTTATTGTTTTAGTTTCTTCTTTTTCTTCATATCTAAATTCTTTATATTTACTGACTAATTTCTTAATTTCTTCTTCATCAATTAATTCTAATCCTCTTCCCCATTCAATTAATCTTTTTATTTCATTTTCTGATCTGCTATTATCAAAATCTTCATCTGGTTGTGAATCTACAAAATACATTGGAATATCAAATTCTTCATTTGTTTTATTTATTTGTTTTATAAATTCTTTCAAATCTTCTTTGTATTGTTCTTTCTCTTTTTTACCTTCGTCAATTTTCTTTGGTGGAATATAATTATAACACATCGTCCAAACAATACAAACATGTTTCCAAATGTCTTTTATTTTGAAAACATCATTTATAGTTTCAATAATTTGTTTAATGCTTTTAGACAGTTTATTTACATTATAATTCATTGTTAATATAATTCCCTGCAACCCTGTTACCCTAACACAATCAACAATATTTTGAATATTTTCAGTATCAAAATTATTAGTATCATTAAGACCAGGTGTGTCAACAATAATTAAATCACTTCTATCTTCTTCACCATTTTCTACTTTGGCTTTTTCTGTTTCTGACTTTGTAGTATTACCTACTTCAAAAATATTCTTCTGTAAAATGGAATTACCAAGTGAACTTTTCCCATTTCCTGTTTCTCCAATTAAAAGTAATTTCGTTTGTTTTCCTTCTTGTAAACTCATTTCTGTTTTATTAGTTGTTTATTTTCTTTAAATACTTTCTGATAACTTATTCAATGATGTTTATTTATTTGTGATAAAAAATATTTACAAGTTATTGTATTTTGCTATAAAAATATTTTAGACAAGTTGTTAGTTTGTTTTTATTGAAATGAATAAACGTAATTGTATTGACGTTTGTTTATTTATTTCCTCATATAAAAATTTATCGTAAATAAAAATTATTTTTCGATACGAAATAACATCGAATATTGTTTACGATTATTAACAAATAACAATTATTATGTAATTTTATGATAAATAAAATTGTAAACATAGTTTAAGTGACATCATTTCTTATTTATTTCATTTTATTTTTGTTTATTGATTAAAATATCATTTTATTTCATCAAAAATACTTTTCATTCTATTTTAATTTATCATTTTTTGTAATTTCCTATTACCCCCATTTCTTTATTCACAAATACATTTCAAATGACTTTAAATTAATTGTTATTTGATAATTGTTATGATAATTTAAATTGTTATAAACAGGTAAAATGAAATAAATAGGGTACGAAAATTAGCAAAGAAAAAATGCATCTAAATAATTTACAAAAATGAAAAAGATGCAAAAAAATTTGCATCCATAGAATATTCCACTTTATTATATTTTGCTCCTAAAAAAAAATAAAAAATAAAAAGTATGATAAATACAGAATAT